AATGCAACCCAACTTGCACTGTGTGGAGTTACAGTTTGTCTTGGCGGCTTCTGCTTTCTGCATCAATTAGCAACTTGACAAGAACTGCTTTTCACAACCAAGCTTTTGAGTATTATTGCATATATTTTAGGATTTGATAACAGAAGCAAGGGTCATACTAAACTTCATGGTAGGAACTGTGAATTCCGGCATGTATCTGTCAGTGCTTTTGCTGTGTCTCCTCTTCTCTACCTGTGTTTTAATGACTGGAGCCCATCAGTACTGCTTTTGGACGGCAGTGAGAGAGGAGTGCGCGGGCAAATAGTTCTTAACAAATTTGCGGTAGATGTAGCTGTCTGTTTCTGATAGCAGTGTTAGTGCCATTTCCATAAAGAACAATAAGAACCTTAGGGTGAAAGAAAAAGTTGAAGTGATAAAGGCTAGGAAAAACTTCAACTGACTGTTTTGTATAATCTTCACCTTACTGTCACCGTATATATTGCTACTGCTTCTGAGGCTATTCTAGAATCTAAGTGGTCTGAATAGAAAGTATGAATTCCAGCTCAAACCTTACAGTGGCTCACTTAAGCTGGCATGGAAACAAGACAAATATGTGCAACTTTGCTTTAACTAGCTCTTCTCTTTCCCCTCACACTTGCCCTGACGAAGCATTTTTAAAAAACAATATTGTCTCTGTGCAGTCCTCATTCTGATAAGAGTCAAGCTTTTCAGTTTTGTCTTTGGAAGTGAACTCCTCATTTCTCTTGACTGTTTTCATCCTTCATTGGATATTTGATTTGCTTCTGTTAAGTACTGCATGCATTTGATATATTTACTACCAATATTTTTTTTCCTTACTAACAATTTCATGTTTAAATTTTTCAGGTGTTTGGTGAGGAAGTTTTTTTGCTTCCACTTAATTCATAGTAACCAGCCTCTATGTATATCCACTCTAGTTCACTGTCCTGTCTTCTTCTTGAAGATTTAGCATTCACTTTCTTCATAAAAAGAGAAAATACTTGCTTGTTTTGGACCTAGGCTATATTACTTGCTATTCTGTCCTTGCTGCATAGTAGGCCACTTCCTTTTGCCTGTTTTGCCAAATAGCTTTGTTTTGGATTTCTTGCTTTTATACCTATGCTGTTTGATGTCTGAGGCTTAATTTTCTCTTCTGACCTGTTCTCTTGTCTCTCCTCACACCCCAATCATATACAGGCTTATTAAGAAATCTCTTTCAAGGGTGCTTTTGATGAAATCTGTACATTTTGTCTCATATCTATGATATATAATACTATTCCCCAGTCCTGTAGAAATTGTGTCGGTGTTTTTTTTGTTGTTTTGAGTTGTTTTTTTATTTCGTTGACACTTAATAAATAGTTTCCTTACTTTCTCAATGCTTGCTCTCTTGAAATTGGAAAACAGCCTAGCTTTTTACTTATGTTTGTTTAATACAAATTGAATATTTAACTCAAAAGCATGAGCTACTGAAACAGAGTTGAAGCCTTTTAATTCCAGTGACTTCTATGAAGAAACCTATCGCATCCAGAAATATCTGGATCCTATCCTATCTGTATCTGGGAAGATCATTTATGGTGATGATTTTGATTGTGATGTTTTCAGGATTTCTGTTTCTTTTTCTTCCTTTTTCCTTTCTAAAAGCTTTGCATTATTTATACACATATTACAAGGTGTGGATGCATCTTGTCTACTTTTAGGAGATTTTAAGACTAGTTTTTGTTTAGGAGTAACTAGATTTGAAAAGGTTATTATCTGAGTAAGGCTAGATTCCTCCCCTTGCCTTTCTAGAAACAGACATTTGCACATATCTCTAAATCATTTCATAGGTATAGCTGATAGTAGTAATACAGCCCAAATACACATTTGGGTTTTAACAAATTCTTTGTAGATATCATGTATGTTCTTAACTGTTCAGTGCTTCTGTAACTGTTGAACTTACATTTTCTGCTTTGCTGCGTATGCAGGAGCTTTGGTGATGGTGTGAACCGGATGACCGTCTATGTTTGGATTTTTTCATGCTCTCACATGTAAAAAATGTTGATTGTATCATTGTTCTATAGCAAGAACAAAGTTGTTTTAATTTTGAGATTGACAAGGAGGTGAATATCATCTTGTATCCTCAGTTATGCTTGCCTGTGCACTTTGCGGTCTGTGCATTTTGCCCTGCTAATTTAAGTTGTCCATGGCCATTTTATTGAGTTTGTTGGCATTGATCTGCCATGCAGTCATGGGGAGTAAAGATGTGCATTTGAGCATTATTTGCAGGACTTGATTGCTGTATAAGATACCTAGTTCAGGAGGACAGTACTTAAGTCTTTGCAGCTGAAGCTTTTGCTGTTTACAGTCTAGGGAGGCTCTAGAAGGTGTGTAGCTAGGTTTTATGCTAATGCTTGTTCAGCAGTATAGGGGAAAGATAGTTTTCTAAGTAGAGTCTCATCAGCATCCTACTGGATGCTTCTATCCAGCCTCCTGTGTTCCCCAGAGAAGACTGAGAGCAGCTTATTTGAGCAGTTAATGTAGCATGAATGCAAATCTGGGGCTAAGGAACTGATGGTGGTGGCTGTTGCTTCCACTGAGGGAGTTAAAAAGAGAGGTGAGCTGCTATTGCAGAACAGAAGTGAGACTGGGGCATTGGTCCAGTTTTCTACATCAGGTATTAGCAGCCTTCTACATTCATTTCCTTGCTGTGCCCATCCTCTCGCCTGAAGGAATAGCCAGGCTCCTTCTGGAAGCACAAGAAGGTGGAGAAGGGAGGTCAACTAGTTGCGCAAGAGACAGGAGAAACCTGCTGGACACTCACCTGTCAACCAGATTTATGAAGCCAGGGATTGTCAATCTGCCTAATTACTCGAGTCCTCTGGTGCCATGGGATTTGAATGGCCAGAACTGTGCAGCAAATTCCAGCTATGCCTCCCTTGATCCCAGCGCTGTCTTTTGTGTAAATTGTGCTGTATTTCACGTGCAGCAGTGTTTTCCACCCGAACAATTGTGTCATCTGCCAGGATCCTGTCTATAATATGTATTCAAGATGTTGCAAGGAACAGTTGTCTTTATAACTGCCTTACATATGTGCTTTCTCTTTAGGTTTTGGTGAAGGCAATCTTCACTGTTTAAATGCTTTACTTCCTTAATATTAGTCTTTATTATGGATTATCAAATTGTTAACAAATTTCATAGCAAATTTTTAAACATTGCTATCTGATGGCCAGGTGTTCTTGTTGCATATGAACTAATTCATGAAACTCCATTCAGTCAGCGTAAACACCAGGTAAGCAAAAACTATTTCTGTAAAATACCAGACTCTTCTAATTGTTTTTCTGGCCACTTGTGTTTGATGTATGTGTGACAGCTGTAAGAAATACATAGCTCAACAAGTACGTTTACACAATACATTTAACAGCCTGCCCTTATTTCCACCACAGGATTAAACCTGGGAGGTTTTATTAAACTTTGCTGTTGACAATAAATTTATCTTTGTTACTACAGGTTTACAAAGTGTTGGTCTCAGTTGGCAGAAATGAATGGTTTGTCTTCAGACGGTATGCAGAGTTTGATAAACTCTACAATACGGTAAGTAAAAGGCAAGCTATGAAATCATGATAAAATAGTACAGAGTAATGCTTGCAGCGATATGGTTTGAGTTAATTCTCTCATTGAGTCTGAGTCAACATTCAATAACCATAGGAGCCTGTTCAAAGAAAATGACAGGGTGGGGTTTTTAAACTTTGGTTTGTTTGAATTTCAAACTCAGAATCCACTTACTTGTCACTTTTTTTTAATTGTTCCTTGGGATCCTAATGTAGTGAGAGAAAATTCCAATTTACTGGTTGTCAAAACACCTGAAATGTGCATTTATTCATGATGGTAAAAGTCACTGCACAACTTAAAACATCTAGATACATAAATTCATCTTAAAATATCCTACTCTGAAGTACTGAATGCAATGAACAAATCCTTGTTTCTTAATATGAACTTTCTGGTAAGTCAGTCGTGGCAACTGGTACTTGCAGTTTCATAGCCAGTCCAAATAAAATAGGCCTCTTCAGCAGCTAAGTATGGATTTCTTGAGTTCATCACTAGAAGATGATTTTGCCCCTTTTATGTAGTGAACAAGTGAGGCAAATACTTCCTCAAATGTGCAGTCTGTTATGTATCCTGTGTCCGTACTTGTCTCTGGTTCTTCATGTTCAGAGCCCACAAGTTTTGCTTTAACAGAAGAAGAAATAATTCCTCTGTGATCTCCATAAGAAAAGATTGCCAGCTACTTATCTGTGCCTCCACTTCCCTTCCATCGCCCCTGTGGGAAGTAATCAGGCTTTTCTTCCTTCTGCCTCACTGTGCATGAATTTATATGTGACAGTGATATTCAAATGCAGGCAGTGAGCTTGTAGCTGTGTTATAAGGGCTGAGCTGAAGTTAGGCTGGATGCACCATGCTGTGCTTTGCCTGCATCTTGGGATAGACTTGGAAGTGATGTGAAAACAAAGTGTCCTTTTTGCGATGCAGAGTGAGTGTTGGTGGTGCTTTGCCACATTCTCTTGCTACTCAGATTAGCTTTTCGCTGCTGAAGTTTGTTCAGCACTGGTGTTTCTAATGTGTGTAGAGGTGGAGGTCCTGGGGAAGCATAACCAGGAGGACCTTTAGTGCAGTTCATGTTCAGTGTAATTCATATAGTATAGTTCACCAAAAATAATTTGTGTCGCTAACTGGAAGAGGTACTGATGTTTCTAAGGAAAAAAGAATTGCCAGCTACTGTATTAGAAAACTAATCTCTTAAAGAGGGTGAGAGTAAGATTGCTCTTCCTGGGGCACTTGAAAATGAAGCAAATGTAATCAAGGCTTGGCTCATGTCAGGTTTTTTTAATTAAATTCAGTGCTGTTGCATATGATCTTCAAATGTAGGTTTAGTTTATCAAGTGTAGAATATAATCAAATTATCAAATGCAGTATCTTAAAACAGGCTGTTCATCTGTTTATAACTCTGACTGAGGGGTAGACCACCTGGGGTTTTTGAAGCTTTAATAATGTTGTTTGGGCAAAACCCAGAGGCCTGTATCCCCAACCCATCTTAAACCTCATGCATACATACCTATGTAAGCAGGCAAGAAAAAAACAAACCCAAGGGAGATAGAGAATTGATGGAGGAAGGAAGTGCAGAGGAGAATAAAACCAACACTGAAATTCTAGCCTACTTTTTTTTAATCGGGGGCAAGTAGAAAATCGTTTTGCCAATACTGCAGGATGTAGCTGCAGTAGTTCATAGCTTTGTAAAGCGAGATGGCCTTTGAATTTAAAAGGGTATGACTGGTGCAAACAGACTGAATACAGATTGTTTTGGGCTTGTTTATTTTCCCTAAATGTATGACTAGAGAAGATGGCAGAGAGGAACAGAATTGCTAATAATCAGATGTTCAAACTGTTCATTAGAAAACAAACAAAACACAATAATTTCTAGGTACTTCAATGTTTAAGCACAGTCCAATTGTATGTGTTTTCTTTTCAGCTAAAGAAGCAATTTCCCACCATGAACCTGAAGATTCCAGCTAAAAGAATATTTGGAGATAATTTTGATCCTGGTAAGTGATCATTTTGTCAGTTTCTTTATATGAAAATTGATCTATTCCAGCCTACAAGAAGCTATCTTAGATGACTTTTACACCAGCCCTCAAAACAGTGACTCAGCCAAAGTTTAGTCATGCTTCAGTCAAGAACAGGAACTAGCGTAGGTAGGTATTCTACCTTCTACCTTCTATCTTGGACAAAGTATTGCTTAGTGGCCCAGTGCCTCTCTTTAGCTGAAGGCTATAGCTCCTCCCAACCCTCCCATATTCAGGATTGTGAACGACTCTGAACTGTCAGGTATAATCTCTCTTCTACAAAAAGCAAAAGCCAAAACCCAAACTCTTCTATATGCCTAGTAAATGTTAAACTTCTTTCGTGTGACCTCCCCCCCTCCCCCTTCTGAAAAATGAAATAACTAAAGGATCTTTGAAGGCTTTTGAACTCTCTGTATCTGAATATGCTTCCTTGTACAGTTCAGATGAAAATGAACCTCTTCCTGTTGTTCTGATTAACAGAAGCCTGTCTGATACAAACACGATGTGATCCAGTTAGTGATAGATCCCAGTTAAGCTTGCTCTGTCCACATCAAATTAATAATGGAAAATCACTTGTAAAGTGCATTGAATTAACCTAGGTGGCACCACCGTTGAATAAATAAAAAGGCAAATGGGAAGCCAGACCTTTGCTCTGTGTGCTTTTACCCTTCATTCAGGCCATTTTTACTTAAGGGTTTTCTTGATGGTCATTGGGAACCTCCCACCCTCCCCTGGCTTGCTCATGTGATCGGACTGTGTTTGTAAGTTTCACCTCCTCCTGCACATGTTTCAAGCATGTGATTTTCTGCTTTGCTGAAAAACAAATGGATCCAAAGATGCTGAACGTCTTGGGATGTGTTTTTGGGTTTTTGAGAGTTGTTTCAAATAAGTTAATTTTTGGTGGTGACAGTTAATCATCTGGATCCTGACATGAAACTCCCTTTTATTTTTTATTAAAATAATCAAATGCAAGTATCCAGGCTCTGATGTCCTCTTCTCATGAAGATGTAAATGATTGCCAAAAGTCCTTCATGTATTATGTCTACAGGGACTTCTTGTTTTGTTTTGGTTTCTTTGCTTTTCTCTGACCTTGCGGTTTTCAGAGCTGGCTGAAGACCTAGTAATACCATGCAGTCTGATTTTCTGTACAGCCAAATATATAGGTGGATTTCTTGGAGTCAAGTTTAGGAAACTGGAGTTTAAATGGGGGGGGGAAAAAAACCCCATAAAACTTTATTAAAACTCTATATGTAAAGCAAAGTCTTCAGACTTGTTTTAAATTTCTGTGAACTATCCTGAAATCCTTGAACCATGAGAAACTAAATAGTTCTCAAGATATTTCTTGCTGAGGGGCAGGGTGGAGATGGAGCCATGATGCTCATTTAAATCTTTTTCTTAACACTCATTTATTGAAGCTTTGATGTAATGTTTCTGCCGACTTCTGAAATGTCACATACTTTACAAACGGTGAAAAGGTATTTTACTGCTATCAATCCACGCTTGGGTATGCAGCATTGTACTGTTGCACTGGAGCCGTAAATGTGGTAGAGTGAAAATTATATGGCCCTTTTCCCAACGGCTACCAAAAATACTGTCATAACATACACTGTCACCTAAACACTCTGTTTTTATTGTTACTTAGGTTATTTCAAAGCTATTCTTGTCTTAACTTCAAAAATGGGACAGAGGGAAATCATAAGAACCAGTCAGAATACAGAACTAGAAAATTACAGAATACATTTGCGCTAACGTGATGCAGGTGTTTTATCTGCAACAACATGGATAGCTCTGTAGGCTTCACGTGGCTGGCTGCATGATACATCCATCATACTGAAACTGCTGGTGTTGGTGACTTCTGTAACATCTTTATGCAGATTTACGTTCCTGTTCCATGTCAGTAATTTGGGATTATTAAATACCCTAGCAAGGATTTAGGGGTTACATCCCTGAAACAATATGAACATTTTTCTTAATATTTGAAATACAGCTTTAATTGAAACTTAATTTTAATTTAAAATTTTAATAGTTGTCAGTAATCTATATGTGATAGTCATTGCAATACCTTAAAATTTAATACACGTTTTCCATACAAATTATTGTTGGTATGAGTAAAGAAAGACAAGGTTATTCTGTTTTACGCTTTATTTCATGTTAGAGCTCTTTTTCTGTTTCAAGCTTGTGTATCTTTCCATATTGCTAAAGAAAAGTTAGTCTTTTAAGCTTTGGATGAGGGTGGAGATTCTGAGGATTTTTTTACGTTAGAGATGATGTCTAAAGTGGAAGGAAAAAAAGCATTTTATTTAGTTATCTTTAATGGTTACATCTGAGTGCCTGCTGGCCGGATGAATGGCGCAACTTTCCCACTGCCGTACATATAGTATGGAAATAGGCTGCTTGGTGGGACTGCTCCTGTAAAAACTTAACTTGTGCAACTGATGTCAAGTTTTGCCTGTGGCTTTTCTCTGAGTGAAATCAGGTCCTGAAGGGCTCACCTGTGCAACAAAGGCCGCACAGGTCAGCCCACTGTGGTTACATGCTGCTCTTGAAGAACTTCAGTGCACTTCTAATCCATCTGGCTTTCTACTTTTTCATTGAGTAGTATAGCGGAGAAACTGAAATTTGTTCTCTCACCTCACTTGAATGTTTTAAGCTTGTGACTTTTGTATACAGAACCAATCGTGAACCAATCTCTTTTTAACTGCTGTTCAGGTCCTTAAAAAACCTAAATTTGAAAATAAGTCTTTTTTACAAGCTGACTGATCATTCTAATAAATCTATCTCTTTCCAGATTTCATTAAACAGAGAAGAGCAGGACTGAATGAATTCATTCAGAATTTAGTTAGACAGCCAGAGCTATGCAACCAGTAAGTAGTTTCATTTATGTTCTGCAAGGACTATTTAAAAGCCCTGAGATGTCAAATAGAAATTTGCAAGTTGAGTATTTTTAACCAGAAAATTTATTCTATCTGTTCAGTATTATTAAGTATAATAAATAAACTTTAATATGGCTGTTCATTCCTTCAGGAAAAATCCACAGACTGATGAACAGTATAAAGATGTCTTTTGTTTTCTGAAAACTGATATACAAATAAACTTGCAGGCAATTAACTGATTTTAGTTCAAGAGGTGCAGATTCCAGCAAACTGTTGCTGTGGGGCAGGTGTTTTGTTTTGCTGGTAGCTTTACTGTTTGAAAACTCTACTGTCACTGGCTACTACATTGTCCTTCTGGTAGTAAGTCGCTGCCTACATCCTGTTGTTCGGGCGGTTCATGTGTCTAGTCCAGAACTTGTTTTAAGCCTGTTAACCAATTAGCTTAATCAGCTTGCTTAGGTGGTTTGGGATAACCGAGCTGACCTGTCTAAAGCAAATGAATAAGCTTGCACATAAACTGTTCTGTCAGAACTGCGGGTGTGTTAACCTCTATCATGGGATGGTGATGAATGAGAGATAAGTGATATGCTGGAGTCAGCTTCAGTTAAGAGGACAGCACTCCTGTGCGTGAACTGCATTTTTCTTTCAGTTTAAATCTATACCTAATCAGTTTAAACTAAATCCATGCAGCTTTCTATGTTATTTGAAGTAGTAAAGCTCTATGTTTGGCTTTAGTGTTGAAGTAAATGTCTTTTAATACATATGCTTTGTTTAATTAGCCTATCTGTACAATTGGTGAAACCGTCAGTTTCCCCGGGAGGCGGATCTCTAACAGAATATTGCTGCAGTTTGCAGTGTGCACAATTTGTTGTTGGTTTTTCCGCCCCCCCCACCCCCCCTCCCCCCAAGCTATTTAATGTCCTATTAACCTGAAATACGTACTTCCTTTCTTCTTTGGAAAAACAGAGCATTTTATACTTCCTTGTGATATGTGGAAAAAATTTCAACAAAGTCTTTACAGTGGAATAGTTTTCCACTAGAACAAGTACTGTGAGGTTTGTGGTTTCAGTAGTGTTCTTCTCTGGGGAAAAAATAGAAAGCACTTTAAAATAACTAATTATTGAAAGCTAATCTGTTTTGTTACATTAGCAAAGGACATCGGTTTTATTTAGCACAATCCCCTCCCCTGTTTGGTTATCAGTATGTCCAAGCACAAAATACTTTGTCTCAAAACATACTATATTTGTTCTCCAAAGGTAAAAATGGTACTTTTTGAATGCATATCACAAAATTGCGTTTAAAAAAACCCAAACAAACCCACAAACCTCAAAACCACTTGTCGTCTTAAATTTTTGTCACCTTTTAAAATTGTTTTACGCTCAAATGTATTTGTAGCTGAATCTATGTTCTTTAACATGGCACTTAAACTATCTGATCCATTAAAAATAACTTAAACCAGTATTAAGAAATAGGTCTTAAAGTGTTTTGGTGCTGTTGAAAGTGTGTTAAATAAAAGGCTTATTAGGTGTAGTTCTATAATAAAAACAAAATAGAGACTGAAGTTTGTCTTGTGCTGTTCTCCTGCTGACCCCACCCTTAACTGAAGTAACAGGGATTTATGTGGGAGAAAACACAAGCCTTTAATTCACAATTCAGTGCAAAAGCATTTAATTTTGTAGTAATTTCTGTGTGTTTTTTTTCTTTTAATAACTGCAAGGTACTTTGTTTTTCTGGAGTGAGCTTTTACTTTTTTCAGTGCTCTGTTGCAACAAATCATATTAATAATTACATAATCTGTCGCCTTTTCTACATGCCAATGAATGTTGTTAGTGAAGGAATACCAAAACTTTATGACCTTGGCTGGTTTGTTTTTCAGTGGTTTTTTTTTTTTTTAAATCTGCTAGAAACTACTCAAGGAATTGTGGTTACTGAGTCTTCACAGATAGTCCACATCCTTGCTCTCTTAGACTGTTTTGCTTTTATGTGCTAATTAAATTTGATATTTAGTAAAACAACTTAGGTAAAGTTAGTCATGTACAAGGGGGTTATGCATTCTCACAGAACTTTAAGGTGAAGTCCACCTTCCACTACATTTTTTTAAGCATTAAAACCAGTATCAAGATGTCGTATTTTTAAGTCCTACCTAGGAAAACTGTTTCACTAAAAGCTTAAGGATGGCTCATAATGATGTCCTCATTTCTGGAAGGGAAAGCACCTGAACGTCTGAATTGAAAAGCACAAACATCAGATTCAGTGTGTCCCAGATGGTAACTTTTACATTATTTTCTGAAACCTATCTTTTTTTTAGGGTAGAGATCTGATGATGCATCCCCCTTGCTGACTGAATAGGAGCTGGGAGTTTGTTACTTGTGAGCACTGTGAGGCCCCCTAAGTCACTGAGCAACTATTCAAATAGGGCTGCTCGCGCCTTCAAAGTTTACTGAAAAAGTAATGCATTTAATTGTCTATCAGAACATGTCCAAAGAAAATCTGTTTGAATCCAAATGTATAATAGAGAATGCATTATAAGATGCAACAGAGTTATTTTTAAATAGTCCAAAGTAACTCCTTAATGAAAATGAGAACATTGGCATAACATTTGAAGAACCAAGGAATGACAATACCGTGCAGCCTCCATGGGGAAATGAGTTACCAGTTCTTTAAGTGAAAAGCAGAGTTCTGCATTTGTTCTGTAGAAGAAAATAAGAGTGACTAGATTTTTCTGGTTTCGAAGTCTGATTAATATAAAAATTAATACCTCTGGATTGTAAGATCCTGGGGTCCATGTTGGGGAAAGCAAACCTTGCATTACATTAGTTGTGCTCTTTTAAAATCTTACTCTACTTCATGGTTTTTTTGAGCCTTTAATTCTGTAAGAAAGATAGCAGTGGTTTCCTTTTTGTTTTTTTTAAAGTGTATAGAGAAGAGGGAGGAATTAGGCACCATTATTTAAATAAAGTGTGTCTTAAGCGTTAAGGTTCTGTCACCGACAATTTTACCATTTTGTTTAAAAGTTTGTGTAACTTTTTGAGCTTGTTCATATGTGTGTCCAAAATTCTTGTGTGGCTTCGTATGTTTCTTCAGGAAGGCTAATGCAGAACAAGTATCACAGAAGGAACCATATTTAGGCAGAGCTTTACACCCCTTTGTGGATTTTTGAAATAATCCAGAAACAAAATTTATCCAATCATAAAAATCCAGACAAAACAAACTTTTGCTGGTAGTATATGTACAATGTATATCAAGCATCCCTTTTTAAACTGTTTTCTTGATCATTTTAATTTAATATGTGAGGTTATTTTAGGAATAGTTTCAGTGTCTTTTAAAATACAGTGAGTTACTACATGTAAGCTAGTATAACATAGAAGTCTTACCAATCTATATAACGTTTTGCATAACATGCTGCAATCTAGGCTAAGAAATTGGTACATTAAACTTTTTCTTTTTAATCACTACTTCTTTGCAGTGCTTTTAAAATTACAAATATGAACAATGTGATATTGATCAGTTACGCTTCTGACCGATGTGTGTTGCAGAGATTGTTGAAAACCCTGCAACTGTACAGCAGCCTTTTGCTCTAAACGGATTTTTTTTTTCCCTGCTGTGAATTCAGTCATGGGACAAAGTTACTATAGTAACTATTTGAGATGTATTACAACATGCTCTATTTAATCAGTCAGTTGTCCAGAATAATTAATGCTGAAAGGTAATTAAGATCTGGGTATGTTGTTCTGTCTAGTGAAAAGCATTAACTGTAACTTTTTGTTCTTGATGTTATGATATCCAAAGATTCTTGAAACTTAAATTGTTGCACTGTGAGCCAATATGACTACAGTAATCAAACCACAGCGATTTTTGTCTTCCTGGGACTCGGCATAGAAGACAGACCCTGAAATAGATCAGAATTTGGAGTTCATGTAAGGTGGGAAGAATTAAACTGAAAACAGTGGAGGGAAATTGTATGGCCAGTCTTGTGGCTGTATTTTAAACGTGAAAGGCTGCAGGTAACTGAAACAGACTTCAAATAGGGTTTAGGAATACAGAATATAAGTGATGGAAACTGGGAGCCTCAGATAGCATAGGACATGAATTAGGTTCAGTAATGCTAATAGGAAATACAGGAGCTGGAGAAATGTCAGAAACAGCTCATCTCTTACTTCTGATCCTCGTTTTACAGAAGTGTGGAGTGTGAAATAGATTGAAAACAGCAAAGCAAGTATATCTGCTTCTTACATAAAACTACCCTATTTTATACATTCTAGGGATAACAGAGCAGCTCCGTAGTAAGTTAGTGCTTTTCTTACACTGAACGGCTCATGCCGTGTTTCCTATCAGTGACTGCCCTGAGACCTTGTTGAAGAACTTTATCTCTGAAATTTAGGTAAGGTTTCTTCCTTGATAAGCAGGTTGCCTTTTAGTGAATGAAAGGAACTTGAAAGATTCAGGTCATGTCTCCAAGTGGTATATAGATTATAGATGATACCCATTTGTTTAGGAATTAATTCTGCCTCACTTATATTGCATTATTCTTTACTCGCTCACTGTGCTGTGATTAAGAAAGTTGCTAAATTCTTTTGAACCTAGTGTTGGGTAAGCCTTGCTTCCCGGAAGCAGATTGTCAGAACTCTCTTACTTTCCCTCCTTTTTCCCAATCTTCCTCCCCCAGCACCCATCAAGACAGAAGCTAGAAACCAATGCTGAAATTAAAATGTACCTCCTTTAGGTACTGTGGGAAGCTTGTCGTCTCTCTTGCCAGTTCCTGAAGGATAGTGTTTGTGTCCTGCAGCTGACTGGAAGAATTTCTTACTTTGTCCTGTCACTGCCCAGCTAGAATGCACTCTGAATACAGAATCACCATCTTCCACTTTAAAACAAGTGGGGATAGAAATGTTACTACCATGTACCTCTTGGGACATTTCTGGGATACAGACTATGTGTTTCATTCTGTATTGTGTTGGACTACTTCATTAGTTTAGGAAAACTAAAAATGGTTTTAAACTCTTCAGTTTTTTGAAAGCAAGTTGGTCTCCTGGTGGTTGCTAGCCAGTTAGAACACTATCCAAAGCAGGAGTTCTAATAATTACTTTTTAATGCAGGTCTGCAGAGCATTTCCTTATGAAGTCTTGACATATATATACTTTAACATGTCAGGTTTCTGCAAGTGGAAATTTTTATATAATGTATATAACACATTCAGCAGTTGTATTATGTTGCTATAAAAGCATTTCTTGCACACAGTCCTTAATTACCAGAACTTAAATATAAAACTTTGTGATGAGTAACTTCTCTGTATGCTGCTGTTTAATCCTGTGCTTCCTATGGTTGTGGCTGAAAATCATGCAGATTATCAGTGTGTTAATGAATTTAACTGTATTTCTAGCCCAGATGTCAGAGCATTTCTTCAGATGGATAACCCAAAACACCAGTCAGATCCATCTGAAGATGAAGATGAAAGGAGCAGTCGGAAGGTAATAAAACAGAAGTAGAACAGTCTCCTAAATTTTAGCTACTTGAGGGCAATCTTACGGATATTATTTACTGAAAATTACTGGTTGGTTCTGCAATAAATCCCCTCTGTTTAAACAAACGTGTTCCACTGTGGGCTGTTAAGATATTTTTCTGTCAGATGTGAACTTCAGAGAGGGTAAAAGTGATTGCTAGCTTTGTCTTACTTCTTCCCCACTTGCTATATGGATTAACGAAACATAGTTTTAGTCATAGCTTAGCTGTCAACAATTTTTGCAATCTCTTCAAAGATTCTTGCTAAGAACATCTGGCAAGGAGCAGGGGAGATTGAATATTCAATTGTCTGTTTGTTTGCTTGTGTGTTTTGTTTTTTTTAAGTGGGGGGAATATAATTCTCTCGGGGGTGGAAAAAATGCAATCTTTCTAAAAGTCACTGAGGAGCAAGGATGGATTTGGTTTCATTTCACATATAACACTGTGTGAGGTCTTAAGCCTCTTGTCACAAAATCCACTACATAGCTAGATGGATTCTCTGAAAATTAATTTACAGCCTCAAGAAACAGTGCTGTTTGGAAAAAAGGAGTATTTCTAGGAAGGCAGAAGTGCCATATTTAAGCATGTTTTCTGTGTGGCTTACTTTGTGGCATACAGATGTGATCTTAGTACTTCTCTTCTTATTCAACCTCTGTTAAAGATTTAAGAATTGTCATTTTGGTTTGTGTGTGATCCACAGTAGATTTAGTGTTTTCTGAAAGTTTCGCTTCCAAACATGCCAGTCTTTGCTGCTTTTTTTAAGTGCTTGACAGCACTGTGAGCATGCAGCAAAGTTCTAATTTAAAATACCAGTCTCCTCCTCCTTTGAAAGGTATTTTAAGTAATGTGGAATGTTCTAAACCTTCTGTGGAAAATAAATGATGTGTCATGCCACAACAAATTCCAAAATAGGAAGAGAGATAATGCATTGTGGCCTGGACCATACTTCTGGTAGAAAATTCACCTTCTCATAGTTACTGTAAATGATAAAGCTGAAGAATAAAGACCAAAAACAAGTGCTCAAGAAAAGAAAAATCTGAAAACTTACGTGAACTTTTTAAAAACTGTCCAATACCACTGTGTGATTGGCTCTTAGTGAATAGTAGCATCCAGCCCTTCTGTCAGGGCATTCTCTGCTTCTGTAGGAGTCCTGGTTTTGTGATGCCTGCTAGCCTGTCCACAGGTAACTTGTATTTGAATGCAGTTTATCCTTCTCTGATACAAAGTCCAAAACCACAATGAGGGTATAAATACTGCTTTTTTTAAATCAAAAACAAAACGGAGAAAATTACCTAAATGACAGTGGTGCTTCCTTCTCTCCCTGTAATTTAGAAATTCTGTCTGGGTGTATACTGGTAAGATTCATGGAATCCTGGAATTGAGTTAGTCTACCAACTTTTTTCATCCTGACACTAAAGGTTATGTTTTTCTTGCGGTGGGGAGAATTTTCACTTTTTTATTTTTTAAAATCACTGCGTCTTTCATTAATTACTCTTACATAAACGGTGTTGGTTTAAAATTATTTTATTGGTAAGATCTTGGAAAATTTAGAATAAAAGGTAGAAAATACATTCCTAGAGCAGATACAGGAAGGGTTAAGTTCTGGATGAGGAACAAGTTGTTTGTTGAAACACTCTTAAATTTTTGTTCCTAATCTTGTCCTCTGTGTCTGAATACAATTATTACCTTCATCCTTGAATAAGATGTGTGTAGGAGTAATTTGTGACAAGGTGATGATGGCCAGATATTTCAGCTTATGAAGTTCCCAATCTGGATGTTAGGTCTCTTTAAAAATCTAATGTAACAAATGTGAAGGTATGGATTGAGCAAATTAGTAGAGTATTTTGAAATTAATATTGTTTGAAATAAAAGACAGAATTAAAAAGAAAACCTAACTAGAAATAAACCTCTTTGTCTCTCCCAACAGTTAAACTCTACCTCACAGAATATCAACTTGGGACCATCGGGAAATCCTCAGTAGGTTTCAATTAAATTAAACTAAAATGTAATTCAATTTAATGTAAAAATTTTTATTTGAATGAAATTGTATTAAAATTAATTTTAAAACCTGAAAAATTAGACTGAGTGTACATGTTAGTAGTATGAAAAGTTCTGTAGATACATGCTAAATATATTTATTTGTTGATTTGCATTGCTTGGGAGGAAACAAAACATTGAATCCTGTGCTACATAAACAACCACTTTTAAAAACTTTTTTTTTCCTTTTCACCTTCAGATTTTGTCAGTCTGCTGTCCTTTCATGTAAGGATGCTATAGCAAAGATGACCTCTCTGTCTTGGGAGTGGTTGCGCAACTGTTAATAATGTGAACACTTTCTGAAAACAAGTTTGTTTGTTCTAATGCATGGCAAAGGAGCAGCTTGCCTTGTTGACACTACAAACCTAGTTACTGCAGTCATAACTTAATTCTTGTTTGATGTCTTCTGTAGAGTTTCTGTTCTCAGTTCTGTGTGAATCTGTGCTTTTCTCATCTAGGAGATGACTGCTATTTTGGTTTTGTTTTCCTCACAGATTTGTTCTAGGCTAACAGGAGGAAATGCTTAATAGATTGCAGTAAGAAATGAAATTTAAGTGTACTTCCCTTCAGGGGCAGTAAATGGAGAGGTGTATGGTGATGTAACTGTTGTTTTGGAATTTGAAAACATGGATAATTGTTCTGCTGACAAAAATATCTTTGCATTGTATTTAGGAAAAAGTGAGGGAATCCTGGGAAATAACTGAAAGGAGTGGTGATGTGGGAAGTGGAAAAACTGAGAGTGAGTTAATACATAGAAGAGGAAGGTGTTAGGGCCTCCCATCTCTTGCTGTAATTTAAAATGAGAGAGGAATGGATGGAGGGAAGGATGAGATGAGTAAAGAGAAGATAGACAACAAACCTGGTCTTTCCCTCCTTCCCTCATACAAGCTTAAGAATCCATGTGGCCCTCTGGAAATGAGAAATTAAGCTCCAGGAAAAGTCATGGGGAAATGGAGACTTAAAAATTACAAGAAACTAGGCTATGGAGAATAAAAGAACAGTCTTGATCCTCCTTTACATCTTAAACTTACAAAACAAAATAAACTCAACGGATGCAACTTGAACACTTTCCCTGGAGGAAAAGCGAATTGCAAAATGAAGAGGAGTCATTTCCGAGGCCTAGGTGTTGCATGGAATGAAGAATAAAGGAGGGTGCTAACAATCTGTTCTCACATTACAACTCAAGTGCTACACTAGGCTGCTGTACAACTGTAAAACTTGTAATTTCTACCCAGATGACCCGTCTCCTTCCTAAATGTTTTTCAGTGCTAAACCAACAGACTTTGATTTCCTGAAAGTTATTGGGAAAGGCAGCTTTGGCAAGGTGAGCTTTCTTACTGTGTCTTACCCTGGTGCAAGGATGCTAGCTGGTGTCTTGAGCATAGTGACTGTTGGCTAGACTTGGCCAGCGGTTTGGGAAGTGGTATCGGTCTAGGGTGGTATATAAACTGTCATGTTGGATCGCTGTTGTTGCTCCTTTATAGCCCTGCCATTTTTTCCCTGATGTGGCAGTTGGCTGGCTCGGTCACTTGTTCAGAGTAACAAAAGGGAGCATTTCCCTTTCTCATTAAGAGCAACAGGGATCCTCTGTTTCCTCCAGAGAGGAAGGGAGGTACCCCTGTGCTTATGCAGCAGCTGCAGTACGAATCATGCATTTCCCTTTGTTGGCATGGACTATTTTGTCAAACCCCTAATGCTATGGAGCAGTGTGAGCAACAGCCCATTGAAACGTGACTTAAATATTGATACTCTACAAAGATGCAACAGAGGGTCCCTCTTGAAATCTTTGGCTTTGGGTTATTTTTCAAGTTGTTGTTTTCCATTAAATTATCTTCAAAATTTACGAAATCAGCTGAAATTCATCTCAATAGAGATTCAGCAGGTCCTGGAAAATAAATATTGTAATTCAGTCTTTCATCATATCACTATCATGACAGATTTTACTGAACTGTAAGCTCACTCTGTTGGTGATTATATTGCTGTTTGACTGTATTAAAGAAAATTTATTGTGGAGAAAATAGCATGAATGCTTTCCAGTTATGCTAAACTCTGAAAATATTACTAATAGAATGTGAACTCCAACAATCACATTTCTTCATTTGTTTTGAATTTCACAGGTTCTTCTTGCAAAACGAAAACTGGATGGGAAATACTATGCTGTCAAAGTGCTGCAGAAAAAAATTGTTCTTAATAGGAAAGAGGTGAAGAGAAACATTCTTTCTCCACCCACCTCCCTTCCTTTTTCCCCTTAATTAGAAAAACATCCCTGTTTACTTATTGATCTTTTTACTTCCTTACAGCAAAAACATATAATGGCTGAACGTAACGTGCTTTTGAAAAATGTGAAACATCCATTTTTGGTTGGATTACATTACTCATTCCAAACAATGGAAAAGCTTTACTTTGTCCTGGATTTTGTTAATGGAGGAGAGGTATGTGGTGGTTGTGTTTGGATTTGAATCTCTATTTTGCTAATGCTAGGTGTGAGGAAACGAAATGATGCTTTACAGTGGGCTGTGATCAGTATTCTCCCAATTGTGAAAATCCTATTATTATCTGCTGTTACTACAGAATTCTATAGCTATATGGACCCTGTTCCTCTTCTAATTGACAACTTTAATCCCAGATTTATTAATGGTTGTCAGATACAAGTGCTGTATTTTACAGTTACATAAATGTACCTTTATTACGAATTAATCTTATGTTGACATTTTTCACCATGTAAAACTGTCTTTTACTCTTGCATCTGCATTAGCTGAGATGCTAGTATTCTGTAAGTGGAAGGAAAGAAACTGGCAACTGAATTTACTACATTGATACTATTGGGAACCTTGGGATTATTCTGTAGCTTCACGTGGTCTAATTACTTTTTACCAAATAGCCTTATCCTCAGGATTCTTTGCCTTGAAGCGATGCTATTGAATTTGAGGAGCCATTACGTAACTTGGGAAAGCTTGTGAAAGAAATGGAGAAAGTCTGTATATGTTTAAATATACTTCTGGAGTAGTTTGTCTTCAGCTAGGGACCTGTTGCATTTCAAAGTACCCCAGTACTTCTAGGAGTGCTCAAGAAAGTCATGTATAAACTGGTTGAATAGCCAATACACATGAGAAGAGCATAAGATACTGCTTCTGTTCCTTCAGAAGGTTTTGAGGAAAATCAAGGGTCTTGTAGACTAATAATACCGGGACCCATGTAGGAAATTACTTGTGATTGAAGAAAATAGTATAGTGAAAAATCATTGTATGAAAGGAACTATCCAACATACATGCTTTAAAGAAGAGCTGTATGTCTTGTCACTTGCTGTGTTTTCAATTTGGTAATTTATTGGTGTAAAATGGACACATTTCAGAAAGTCTTAGAGGTGCTTAAAGCAAAACAGGAAAGAAGGATGAGACAGGATACTGTTGTAGATGATAAAATTCTGGTAGCTGAAAGAGCCCAGGAGAAGGGGTAGAATTTAAATAGTTTGTTTTAGCATATCTCAAGGCTTCCTATGATTTTGCTGCAGCTGGATATACACAGACAAATATAAAGTATGCTGAATAAACCAGGAGAAGATATGAACAGGGGTACATGTTAGTTTGTAGTCATATGACCTACAGTCAGTATTTATGATGCTCCTAGAGATGGTGTTCTGACCTGTTAAGTATCAGAGTTGGGACAAGACAGGCCTTTCTCTTGTCTAATTTACTGTCATCTTATTTAGATGGTATTAGGTCCTGGTTTGCTGCTCTGCTCTGAATTCCAGGCCACAACTTTGTTTGGCATTCTTCCAGGCAAACTAAAACACAGTTCAGAACAGCTTTAAAATTTGAATGAAGGGCTTAGAAAGCTTTGGTGGCTTTTTATACTTTTTTTCCCCAGAGTTTGTAGGCAGAAAACAGAAAAAATTTCTTTTTTCTTAAAATTTTTAGAAGTTGAATTGTATAGTATAGTTTTATTTGCATGTTTCTGATTTGGACTTCCGTATCTGCTCAAACTATTTGAAGTCAGACAGCTCTCTGTAGTTGAAAGAGTTTGTGGATCAGCTTGGAATATACATCACCCAAAGTGATCTACATCTAGGTGATTTCAGAATACAATTATATAAATACTTACCTACAAAACTTTGAATGCGAGACTGTACAGAAATGGAAGATTACTTTGACACAGTTTATATCCTGTTAGTAGGCTCTCTTCCATGATTTAATCTTGCCAATCTCTATTCAGAACTTACTGGTTTATTCTGGTTCCTTTTGACTAGCCTTGGTTTTAGGGGAATGTTTTTATGTGTTTGAGTTACCTGTCCATTCCTGAGCTACAGAAAAGAGGAAAGGAAGTGAGTAAAGGAATGACTAAGTCATGCAGCAAAACCAATTATATTTCATTTTACATTTTTTTAAAAAGTGGAGAGCTAAATAAAACTACTTTTTACTGTTTAAAATTATACGTTATTAACCTGTGGTTTTTGTGTGTGTAATGTTCTTATTTACTATTTGCATATTTACAGCTGTTCTTTCACTTACAAAGAGAACGTTCCTTTCCTGAGCACAGAGCCAGATTTTATGCTGCTGAAATAGCCAGTGCACTGGGCTACTTACACTCCTTAAATATAGTGTACAGGTAAGTTTCTGAAATGTATCCTTGACCTGCAGAAGTTCAAAATAGGGCAAATTATTGAATAAAACCAACAACTTGAAATCATCTTATGGGAAACTTGAATGTAACAGTTTCACCAAAACTTGAAGTTTTTGGCTGAAGAATAAAAGTCCTTGCCTCTGAAGCTCTTGTTAATGACTGCTGTTTTGAATTAATACGATTTCTTTTTGTAAATAGGGATTTAAAACCAGAAAACATTCTCCTAGATTCACTAGTAAGTATGCAACATTATTTTTGGTTTTCTGTGTTCTCTCACAAAATTGACACTCATGTGTATCCACATGTTGACCATGTTCTGTTTTTAAAATACCACTCTTTCTTAAACAGGGTCATGTTGTGTTGACAGACTTTGGACTTTGTAAAGAAGGGATTGCAAGTTCTGATACCACTGCAACTTTTTGTGGGACACCAGAAGTATGTTGACAACTTTTGTCATTTTTTGACTTAGTAATTAATGACTGTTGACTATTATTATTTGTGTGACTGGAAGATCAAATACTCCATTTTGTACTGTTGGAGATTTGCATTCTGTCAACAGGCTCTTCCATGAAACCAAGACAATCTTCCTGCAGATCTGTTCTTTGTCCTTTTTACGCAGTGTCTCCTACTTACTACCCACATCCCGTTAACTCATCTCTTCCTTCCTCCTTTTCCCCAGCCCTTTTCAAGCATTCTGTTCCTCCCATGTCTCCCAACTGCTGGCTAGAGACAGGACAGTTAGCCTGTGTAACAGCTGCAACAGATTTGCCAATATGATTCTACTTACCATATTCTGCCACTGATTTTTAGTACGTTTATAACGACTTGGTATGTGTCAGTCTTGAGCAAATTTTGCATATATGTGAAACTGAACTGGCTGACTGAGTTTATTCAACTCTGTTGTCTCTTTTTACTAAGATAGCTAGGCTGGAAAACTCAGAATCTGGAAGTCTTGAACAAGTATGAGGGATGCACTGAAATGCCAGGATTAGTGGCTTTGAAAATTTTATAAATATACTTTAAATTACAGAAGAGGCCTTTGAAGGCGGTGAAGGATGAGTGATGAGTAGTATTTAGCCGAAACATTTGAACTCGG